TCCCAAATATAAATAAACCTGTGTTGTTCTAGGAGAGTATACAGTCCAAATGGATATCTGAGTCTTCTTATGTTGAGGATGTCTTGGAATGCTTGTCAATACGTAGATGCATAAAAAAAAGAAGAGGAAGAAGAACTCCAATAGTGTAGAATGTCGATAAAGTTTCCAGGTATGGATCTATAAGTAGGTAAATGACTCACCTTGGAGTGAGCAAAAAAAACCTTGCTCAAGTGTTCTTAGCGTTCAGTGGCGTCAATCCCCCACTGGTAGGATATAGGCGATGGAGTCCTGGACAATTCCTCGGTATATAAAAAATGAGAGACGTATATAGTGCTCACTGATGTTTATAAAAACAAATAAAAAAAGGTAAAATACTCACATGTACATGAGCAGGAAATACTGCTCAGTATGATGGCGCAGGTGGTACAATCCCCACCTTAGGATTCTTGGAAATTGGCGTACTTCAATCCAAATTGATGACCAGGTAATTCAAATTAAAAATATAAAATAAAAGGAATTAAAAGTATATAGGCAAAAAATAAGGGCCAGTATTCCTTTATTAAAATATCATTTATCAATATATATAACAGACTTTGTAATAGCCAAAACGCGTTTCACCACACAGGGCTTTATCAAATGGCATTTAAAAGACAAACACAGCCCTGGCCAATCAGCATCTCCTCATAGAGATGAATTGAATCAATGAATCTCTATGAGGAAAGTTCAGTGACTGCATGCAGAGTGGGGAGACACTGAATGTTTGGATGCATTTTAGGCAGCCATGACCCAGGAAGGATCCCTAGCAGCCATCTGAGGAGTGGCCAGTGAAGTTATCACTAGGCTGTAATGTAAACATTACATTTTCCCTGAAAAGACAGTTTTTACAGCAAAAAGCCTGAAGGTAATGATTCTACTCACCAGAACAAATTCAATAAGGTGTAGTTGTTCTGGTGACTATAGTGTCCCTTTATAGTGTTGTTCAGAATTTAGCATTCTTAGGGGCTACATAGTTTCTATTTCCTGTAAAAACAACTTACCGGTATCCCTACAGGGCCTTCTACTCTAACTTGTACTATTCTAGAATCTTTACCACCCCCACTCTTATGTGGTTCACTCATCTCCTTCTCTTTAAATAGATATTTAGTTGATAGACCACTTTACACAGGCCCTAATACTTAATAGATTACTTATCCAGCAATTGTGTAAGTGGTATTTTTTCATCTCATGCTTATAGTGCAATTCTTTTGTATCGTTATCTTCCATTTGTATACTTAGATCCTTCGTCCAGCCATAATTATTCTAACTGTTTAAGGGAATTTCCTAACTTTGGTTCCTTTCTCTATGTAGTTGGGGACTGTAGTTTCCTTTCTCTTTGGTTATATTATTCAGGGTTAGGCCCTAAACTGGAAATTTATCCCTTCAGAGACCTTATATATTTAATATACCTCTTGTATATTTAATGAAATAGTGTTCTATTCATTAATCTATTTATATATTTTTAATTACTGTTTATATGAATTGGGAATTTGCTGAATGTACTTTAACAAAGTGGTATGTTTTTCTTGTGCTTACTTAATCCTACTTATCCTTTCAAACAGCAACATTTAGGTGATATTTCCAATTATTTCTTTATTTGTACATACAGTGTATTTATTTGTACACATTGTAAATCAACTATAAGTTTTTATACCCATTACATATTATTATTATTTATATAGCGCCAACATACATACACACACATACTGACATACATACACACATACTGACATACATACACACACATGTACATACAAATATACAGACATACATACATAGTACAGACATACATACATACATACCCATACTGACATACATACACACACAGACATACACACACACACATACTGACATACATACACACACAGACATACATACACACTGACACATACACACACATACTGACATACACACTGACACACACACACACAGACATACATACACAGGCATACATACACACAGACATACATACACACACACACACACAGACATACATACTGACACATACACACACACTGACATACATACACAGACATACATACACACACATACTGACATACATATACACACACATACTGACATACATACACACAGACATACATACACACACACACAGACATACATACTGACACAGACATACATACACACACATACTGACATGCATACAGACAGACATACATACATACTGACATACAAACACACTGACATACATACATACTGACATACATACACACACACAGACATACATACACACAGACAGAAATACATACACATATACATAGCTAATTTTGCTTACCTTTTTTTGCAGGTGGGTGGCTGTGGCTGATGGGAGTCGGCGTGGCTCCCGCGGCCTGGCTGTCTTCCCTCCCATGCGGAGGGAGCTGGGAGGAAGTGAGCATCGGCCGTCACTTTCTCCCAGCAGTACTTTGCGGCTGCAAATTTTTAAAGGGGCCCGGTCGAAGATAGAGGGCCCATTTGGTGGCCCTGAGTGCTGGGGCAGGGTTCCGGACCTGCGGGCCGTAGTTTGAGGACCCCTGGTGTAGAGCATAAGATAAAGTATCAAATAGTGTACTGGGGTAGCTAAGGGAGGGCTAAGACTAAAATCAGTACATGTTTATCTAATCAGGCTTTATTGAGCTGTGCCTTAGATACACTAACTGAAATGGACAAAATAATAAATAGCAGATAAGGTGGAAGGAATCTCACAGAACGGTGGTAATGGTGGAAACTGGTTCTAATATTGCAGGAAGTGTTCATATGGCCATAGGTAACAAGGTACTAGTGCTGTATGTCCTTGTTACAAGGTAAATAGAAAACTATTATGACCAAAGGCAGGGCCGGTGCGAGGATTTTTGACAACACAGGCGAAGATGCATTTTGAAGCCTCCCCTCCCCCCCACACAAAAAATGGATCTTCACCTCTGTGTCTCGTAGCCCCCGTTTTGAATTTCTCACCCCCATTAGTGTTTCAAATCCACTCTCTTGAATATCTTACCCATTTGGCCCCTTTGTGCCTTACACCCCCTTTTAGTGTGTCTCCTACAACCCCTCTTATGTATTTCTTACTTCCCCGCCAGCCCCTTTCTGTCTCTTTCTTCCCCCAGCCCCTGTCTATCTCTCTTTTCTCCCATAGATACAGGCAAAAATACATATATGCACAAACACACAAACACATAGCCATACAAGCACACAGATATAGTTATTCAGGTACACAGTCACAAAGATATACAGACACACAGTCATAAAAGGCACACAATCAAACAAACACAGTCATACAATTTACACATACAGGTACACTGTTATACAAACACAGACATACATTCATAGAGACACAGGCACACAGATAATCTGTATCTATGTCTATATGGGAGAAAAAGAGAAATATAGGCATACAACAATACAGAGTTTAAATTAATTTACATGGTAAGCTTTGGCTGTTCCAGGACTGCAAGGCATCCATTTCCTGTCCTATTATGTTTTACACCCCACCTACTATAAACTGTAAGCTTGTTTGAGCAGGGTCCTCTTCAACCTATCATTCCTGTAAGTTTTCTTGTAATTGTCCTAGTTATAGTTAAATCCTTCACCCCCCCTCCCCTCCCCCCATAACATTGTAAAGCACTATGGAATCTGTTGGTGCTATATAAATAGCAATAATAATAATAATTGCACATTTTAAAATATATAGTATTGCAAAAAAAAAAACTCTTGCTAACTTTTTAAAGGAACTCTCCAGTTAGGTAGATATACCCCCAATGAACCATGTATGCACTTATTTATGCATTATATCATTGGAAGTACTTCTAAAAACAGCTTGCAAAAGCTGCAGACCTATTGTCTGCAGCCTTTTAAGCCCTCCCCTTCTTCCTTAGCCCACCCTTTCAGTTTGTGCCTTGGAATACTCCAATGATTGAGAAGCAAATGTGCTGGAGTTGTAAGTGCACCCGCTTGTGGCTTTCCAATGCTTCTCAGTAAGTTGTAATACACTTCTGCCAACTCCCACTACCCTTAACCCTGCAACTGTAAATATTGCAGTTTTCATAAACTGCAATATTTACCTTGCAGGGTTAACTCCTCCTCTAGTGGCTGTCTACTAGAAGGCACTTCCTGGTTCATAGCACAGATTTTCTGTGCTATAGCGTCGCTGAACGTCCTCACGCTATGTGAGGACCTCCAGCGTTGCTAAAATCCCCATAGGGAAGCATTGAAAGCATGCGCTTTAGGTCTCACCCCGCCGGCGGCTGCGCATGCGCAATCGGTCTCCCCCGCCTAATGACGAGGAGGAGGAGCGTGGGCGGACCCTGGACCAGTGCTGAGGGACATCGGCGCTGGACTCCGGTAAGTCACTGGAGGGATTTAAACCCCTTCAGCAACCTGGGATGGGGGTGGGAGGGAGAGGGGACCTGCAGTACCAGGAAAAAGGTTTGCTTTCCTGGCACTGGAGTGTCCCTTTAACTTGACTGCACTGGGCGCTTACATGGAAAGACACATACTGATACAATATGTAGAGCAACCAGATAACATTTAACTTTTTCAAACCATAAGGGCAGTATCTACAACAATAATCTTATACAGTAACATACATCTGGTGCTGGTTCCACACGAAAAAAAAAAAAGACTGAGGGAAAAAAAGAAAAGAACAAGTGAAGAGAATACAAGATTGTTAAAAAATCTCACATGTGACAGTACTGCTTTAAGTATTTTTGTATTGAAGGTACACTCAGTATTTGCATATAACAGCTCAGCAGGTGGCATACATTGTTTGCAGACTGTATTTGCTACACAGTAGTCTGTGCTAAATATTAAATAAAATGTCTCCTTTACAGCAGTTTTTACAAGTAGGCTAATAAAGCCAAAGTGTTGCAATCTATCTGTTCAGGATGTGTTTGAAGTGACACAGGAGGAGTGAGCAATTAAACACACAGGACACGCCCGCTGAGGAAGACATTTATGTTGCATGTGGCCAGACACAGTGACTCTTGGAATAGAAGGCTTGAGAGCAAGGTAAGCCTATTATTAATGATGTGTTCCTAACATATCCTAAACCTTCACCAACACTTAACCTACTTTATTGTGATAGTTACCAGCTTGATATTGCATTCTGCATATGATGGTGCTTACTTGTCATTTTGTATTTTATTTTTTTTCTTTCCTTATACATGGCTTTTCTCAAACAGGGTTATTTACTAACATGAGACTTCTAAATGAACTGAGCTTTCATTTCAGCTACTCTGGACTTTCAGTTCAATTTTCATTTGGAGTTTGCAATTTATTGAATAACCCTGTATTATAGAGGGCGGTGTGGGGAGGGTTAAAGTTCACTAGTGTTTGATAAATATCTGTCAGTATGTTACCATGGTACTTAATCAATTCCTATTTAAGATCTGTAACTGAACGATTTGATTCTAAAAAGCTTAAAATCCTGTCCCCTCTGTACCAGTTCATTCTTTGGTAGTTGCGCCATGGATGTGGCTTATGCATGCATATATGCTTATTTTATTTACTTAACTTTTCTATTTGTCATTCTTTTAATACCTGCAGGCAGCGTTATTCACTGCAGTGTGCATTGTTGAAAATTGAACTTTTCACTTTCCTTCCCCCTCCCACTTTGATTTCACTGAAAGTCATGCATATCCAATAAAGCACCAGCATAGTTTATCAGCGTATGGGTTATCCATGCACCATGACCACTTCAATGTGGTCATGGTACAAGGACCCTGAACTTAATTATAAAAAAAAAAAAAAACTGGAAACTTAGCTACAGAGAGCCCTTAGAACCTGAATAAAAATAAAAATAATCCATTAGATACTCAAAAAAAAATAAATAAATAAATAAAAAAAAATAATAAATAAATAAATAATATATATATTGTATGATGCATCCACCATTCAGAAAAAAGAAGTTTGTCTTGTTGTTGGACAACAGTGTGAATTCTAGCAGCTTGACTTTCATTGCAGTTTATTTTGGTATAATGTATCTTCCCTGAAAGAAGGCAATGGGTCAGTCAGGATCTCCCTTTTAATAAAGATGTTACTAGTGGAAAGGAATACCATTCAGAATCTGTTGGCGCTATATAAATTGCAATAATAATCGGTTTAATAGAGGAGCAGTCTAACCGAGGATGTCCAGGACAACTGCTAAATCCTGATGATCCATTAGATTAGTTTTTCCCTAAAATCTGAGCTGTAGTGAATTGAAATCTGAATGGCAAAATGTAGACTAATAGAGCCAATCTGACACTCTTTATTTGTCATTGTGCTACTATTTGGAGTTTTGAGCTTTATTTTGTATCTTTTTGCATAGGACTCTTGAGTGACACTTATGATCATCATAGCAATTTATATCTTCGTTGCTTAGTGATTCATTATGTCAAATGCCAAAAGAGGCCGGGCGTTGATCATTGCCATGACCGAATTCCACAATCGCTCTGAGCGCAGCAGGGACATGTTGGAACCACGCAAGGGGGTAAAACGTGACACAGACCGGCTCTTCAGGGCCCTTTCCCTGCTGGGCTACAATGTTTCCCTTCACCTGGATGTGAGTGCCAGAGAAATCAGAGAAATCTACCATAACGGTAAGAAATTTAGGCAATGTTGACTTTAGGTAGTTTCATTTTAGTTGAAACCGATGCACACAGATCACACTAGAGAAAACTGGTTTGGAGAAAGACAGTGGATAATGTTGTCTGATCTAAAAATTAATTTAATTTTTTTTGTATGTATTTTGTGTGTGGCTGTTGATACTAGGCCTTGTGGATTCAGAATTACTGTCTGTAATTACAGTATTTAATGTATGGACATGAAAACCTATATGAGAGAGCACAAAGTTCCATGTCTGTTTCCTTGTTGGCTTGCGTCGTGTTTTTGATTCCCCTGCAGATCATTTGTTGATGAGTGTTTCTCTCTTTTTAGAATCGAGGTTTGTGCAAGGAGAATGTTTTATCAGCATTTTGTCAAGTCATGGCCAGGAAGGGCTAATTTATGACTTCTATGGTGAGCCTGTTTATCTGAGGGATTTGTATGATTCCCTTTCTCCAAAAAACTGCCCTGCATTGGCTGGAATACCCAAGTTATTCTTCATACAGGTACGAGTGTCTTTTTCCACAGTGCTCCAACTCTTTGATTATGGTAACTCTTCATCAGCCCATGCCCTGATTACATCTTCATAGTTCATAATGAAACTGTAAGTCTCTACTTTTCACACATTTTCCTATAAACGTCTCTTGGATTCAGTTTAAAATCCTGATGTCTATCTGCAAAGCTCTCTGCAACTGAGCTCCAGTCTACATGTCCTCACTAGGTCATCTGTTGGTAACTGAATAAAGGGCATATTTATGAATCGTTTATTTACATATCATCACTAAATTTTTGAAATTCTTATCTAACCTTCTGTTCTGCCTGTGACGCGTGTATGCATTGTTGCACCCCAGCCCCCGACACCCACATGCAGTACTAGTTTATGGCATCCCAATTGTTATGTATTGCCTTACTCTCTACTTTTAAAATCCCATTTCTTTAGAGAAACATACCAGTTATCTGTGTAATACCTCCTTCTAAAGCAGTTCAATTCTGCCTCAAATTTATTTGCACCTTCTATTTTACCATAAGTTGTATCATTTATATATTCTGTTTTCGGTTAGTTCACCTAGCACTCACTCATCCCGCTGGGGACACTGTACGTTGACCTTTTTATAATTCTATGTCCCCTCCTTTTTGCAGGGAGAATATTTTGACATGAGAGATTGATTTTGTAAGGCAATACTGGGATGCGACACAAAAGCTATAACCCCTTTCATTCTTGTTTGTCTACAGGCTTGCCGAGGAAAGGAGATAGATGAAGGAGTGGTACTGGAGACAGACTCTGCAGAATGTGAGGCCGACACTTTTTGTCACAGCTGGAATCTCCCAAGTGACACGGTTGTCATGTTTGCAACCAGTGAGGGTATGTGAACAAAGTTTCTGAACATCTGCACGTCCCATAACATTTCTGTAGCTATTACCTTGGAGTCTGAGATATTACTATTGTATGTTTTGCTAGCCTCGCTTGAAGCTCCCCCCAAGGAGCATTCGTTGGCTCCAGCTAGTTAAGTCATGCTTGGCTTTCTGATTCGTGCTCTCTGCCAATGAGCTAAGCCATGTACTGTCCTGCTATTAAAGGTCCACTATAGACACCCAGACCACTTCAGCTTAATGAAGAAGTGGTCTGGGTGCCAGGTCCAGCTAGGTTTAACCCTTTTTTTTTTTTTTTTTTTTTCTATAAACATAGCAGTTTCAGAGAAACTGCTATGTTTATAATGGGGTTAATCCAGCCTCTAGTGGCTGTCTCATTGATGATTTTTCACAGTGAGAAGGCGCCAGCGTCCATAGGAAAGCATTGAGAATGCTTTCCTATGGACTGGCTGAAAGCTTGTGCTGCGCATGCGCATTCATCCGAGGGGGAAGAGTTCCCCGCCCGGCGCTGGAGAAAGAGGAAAGTTTAACCCCTTCCTCCCCCTAGAGCCTGGCGGGAGGGGGACCCTGAGCGTGGGGGCACCCTATATATAATATATGTTTTCCTGGCACTATAGTGGTCCTTTAAGTGCAGAGCCAGAGAGCTTATTGCTGCCCAAAAGAAATAGATTGTCTTACCCCTAGGTAAGCTGTTAAACAATTTGCAAATGGAGTGCGCCAGGGCATTCATGACACCATAACCACTACAGTGGACTGCTGTGGTGCTTGGAGTGTTCTTTTAATGACAAACTCTACCAATTCATTTCAGTATAAGCACAGATTTCAGTTATACTTGTAGCAGAACATTCCCACTGTGTTCAGCTAGACATTACATAGCTCCCAAGTGAACCCCACACTTGGCACACTTTGAACTGCTAAACATTCTGGAATCAAGAAGAATAGTAGCTGAGTTCACTTGGGAAAACAAACACCTTAAAATGGTGTGTGTAAAAAAAGGAAAAAAAATATATATTTTTTATATATATATATATATATATATATATATATATCCCTCAGCCCCCCTTGGCTAAATCCATTGTTGAAGGGGATTCACTAATACTGGTTACAAAGACGTACTATTTTTATTTTTAATTTTTTTTAACTTCTTAAATGTTGCTGTTTGTTATTCATCTGATTTGTCACCCACTCACAATAGATTAACTGAATTGAGGTTTGGTGAATAGGGTTCTTGATAATGCTGTGTGTCCTTATTATTGTAATACCTGATATACAATACATGACTTGTCAGTAGCTATGTAATAATTTTACATTCCTCTTCATAGGGTACGTGGCTTTCCAGAATCCTGCTGGCTCATTCTTCCTACAAACGTTATGTGACATTATTGAGGGGGAGGAACGCGAGCTTGCACTAAACCAAATCTTCACCCTCATTTCCTACCATACAGCCTACAATTTCCAAAGCCGTGGCACATATGCCGGCTACAAAGAGATGCCATGCTTCATAACCAACCTTACCAAGGAGCTGAGGCCATTCAGACAGTTAGAAAATACCTGCTGAACTTGCCCCTTACCAACACCTTCCACACCCATAATGCTCTGATTCATTTAACTCTTAGAAACCCAAGCATCATGTTCCTAATATTGTGGTTACAATAATTCGAGTTCCCTTTCAGTACAGCTTTCACTAAACAAGTATAAGCAGGTCCATTCTTCATATAAAACTGTTTGTATAACTACACCTCAGTCCAAAATCCTTTCAGGCAGAAGAGGGCAAGTTAAAATCAATTTGTTTGTATGTTTGTTTGTTTTTTGTTTTTTTTGTTTGTTTTTTGGGGCGGGGGGAGGAGGAAGGGTGGTTTCCTTTGCATGCAATGTATGTGACAGATGGACATTACTGGGGGCATGACATACATGTCCCTTCATATGCCCTACATGATGGAGCTATTCACTGATAGCTGGGCGTACATTTGAGGCACAGACTTTCACATTGACCCCAATGACAACCTGCATGTTCTATGGTTCCAGTACAGACTCGTCTCAACCTGTGGTCACTTGCAAGCACCCCGGAACCACTATACATACTCATCATAGTCTGGCACCCTGACTAACCCCTGTAGTCTTCTTGGAAATATTCTTGCATGCCAACCCAGGCCACTGGCCCCACACAACTTTGTGCTAGAAAAGACCTTGCACAGTTCTTGCCTGCTACCTTACTCCTACAGTACCTTGTTGGAAGCATCACAAATGATCTTTTTCTATATTAATCCACTGAAAAATGGCGTGATGCTGTGGCCAATCACTCCCGGAGACTACTGGCCCAGGGAAATTTGCTCCCCTTGTCTGCCCTTCAGGACTTCACACCTGTTGTGCTTTAAATTCATGCAATTTTAATTTCTCACATTGTTTACAAAAGATGTATATTTTTTTTATATATATATATTTATTCTAAGTTATTCTGATATCTGTAAATATTTTGTATGAATTCATACATTTTATTTTTGGAAATAAAGCGTTCTCTATTTTGTATATAAAACCAAACCTTGTGTATATACAGTCTGTCACTTCTTCTGTACCACTACCATAAGCATTTATTGTACATTTATTTCCTGCTCGTGTGATAAGGATTCCGATATCTGCCTCCTGTCCATTAAAAACAAGTTATGACAGTACTATTCAAATAACAATTAATCCATTGAGAGTTCAGTAAAGGAGACTTTATTTACAGACTAAAGGGTTCTTTTTATATTTAGAATCACAGAACTATATAAATAATTATATATATACTATAATTAATATGCAGGATATATAGCTTGTCCATACAATGAAAATATGCCTCACTCATGGTCAAGAAGGAATTGCTCCCTTTTGAAGCACAACTGAAAGTTACTTCAATTACTTTTTTGCTTGCTTTCTTAATGAATCTTTAAAGGGACACTCCGCTACCCTAATAAGGGTTTTTTTTTTTTTTTTTTTCCTCATTGGGTTATATCTAAAAGCAACTGGCAAGAGCTGCCGATCTCTCAAGCATTTCCATTCCAGACTTTCTGTGGCTGTCCAATCACAAACTTCCCAATGCAGTTCAAGACAGCTAATCTGAGCAATTGCTATCTCTTGAGTTTATTTCCACTGAGCTAACAAAACCAGGATTCTCCCTCCACCCCAGCGATTTATAAAGAGGCACAATTATATTTTCATGCCGAGAATTTATGCCTCTATTTATACATAACAAAACCTTACTGGTCTTAGCAACTGCAGATTGACATTGCTTATTGCTGCCTAATTTGTCTATAACATTTGCCAAATCCTTCTCGTGTGTGGTTCTCCCTAATTCACTACCATTTAGGCAGTGGTGTATCCTGGTTTTGTGCTGCCCTAGGCATGACAACTCACACAACAGGGTAATCCCTAAATCCTGGACTGGTAGGGGGTACTCGAGGACTGGGTGTATTTACATTAATTTTCTTTAACTGCTGTTGCACCTTGTCTCGAGTCGTCCAATCACAAGTTATCTGCAGGTTTTCTGCAGCACTAATTTGCATAGCTCTTGCCATAGGATTCTCATTAATATATACTAAAGAAAAATAGTTGTTTAAAATTTCTGCCTTTTCCTGGTCTTCATTAATTAACAGACCCATCTCTGTTTCCAGAGATTGAACAGTAAGAAAGCAGAAAGTTAGCTGATTTTACGGACCTCTGGGTTAATGTGACTGCTTTGTATGGCAGTCAGACTCTGTCCCCCAAACTGCCATAGGACGACTGGTAGGCAATCAGCATAGCCATCAAGATATTTCTGGATACCAACCTCTCCATCACAAGCCACCAATTTCAGTGACTGCACAGGAAGGAACAGGAAAGTAGATTTCGATAGAGCCAGAATAGCAGTTAGGTTCCCTCATCTTCTAGCAATATCTGGCACTATCAATCACTCCTTCTCCCCTTCAATCTCTCTACTATAGCCCAAAATGTATTAATTTAAGTCTAGCCCATCCAGGTGCCTCTGGACTGCAACCCCCCCCCCCTTTCCTATCCACCCAAGGGTTGGGATTCCTTGAGAGCTGGACAGATAGCCATTGCCTACTCATGCTCTAGCTGAAGACATCTTGTACAGGGAAATGTTTCATTTTCTCAGAAATCCCTTTATCTTCAACCTTGTTTTATATTAATCAGACAGAATGAGATTGCTGGATGAAAAACCTGGCACGGGCACAAATAGACAAGGCGTGGGACATAATCATGTGTATGTAAATGGTCAAAGAAGGTGAGAAATAATCACGAGGCACACAGGGCAATCTGGAGAAGGTGTGGTTGCTGTGCGGGTGAATGTGATAGGATTATTATTGGAGTAATATACGGAAAGAACCAGGATGTAAACATCATTGTTAAAGAAATTAGTCTAAACTTATGTTAAAACTTCTGTAACAGTTCCTCCTTATGATTAAATGACTAATTCACCATACTTCATTGTTATGTGATATGTTTGTAGGACACGTTTGTATTTGTCATGCTTTTGAGTGTCATGATTTAAGGTTTTTGTTACCTAGGCCTAGCTCCGTGTATCCACATTGCTCACCCCTATATTTTATTTATTAAACCCTCACAGTAATATATGTAATTTGTGTGTAGTGCATGCGAATGGATATATACATATGCATCAAGTTAGGGACACAAACACCTAACTTGTTCCAATTTCTTTCACATACACATGCCTTCTCGTGAGTTCCTTTGCACTCAAAAGTCTAACAAAGCGAATTGTTCCATTCTTTTAATGATGGGCAGCATTTTGGCTCTGCCAAATGCTCCTCCTGGCTTTTAGAGAGCAAATGCTCCCACCAGTCGGTAGATCATATCTCCCGAACGTCGTTCATCTAGATCAGGGATAGGCAACCTTTAGCACTCCAGATGTTGTGGATTACATCCCCCACAATGCTCGTACACCCATAATGCTGGCAAAGCATCATGGGAGGTGTAGTTCAAAACATCTGCAGTGCCGAAGGTTGCCTATGCCTGATCTAGATGGTCAGGAAGTTTAACGGGCAGCGGTACGAACTCCGCCCGGGTTCGCGGACTCACGTGTCCAAAAAGTAGTTCCAGGCATTTGACGACCATGTACCGCTGCCTGTGTTCAGGAGACAAAATGGTCTCCAGGCACTGGACTATGTGCATTTGGTTATATGAATTGCGGCCACCCAGGGAAAGCACTCGAGTGAAGGTGTCAAGTTGTTAATTTGTGGTTAACAGCCAGGGGAGGTCGGTGTTCACTGAGATATAAAAAGGGGGACCACACACCACTCATTCGGGAGACAAACAAGGGGGTACGGACAACGAACACAAGGGAATGAAGCCTGCTACAAACAGCATCAGCTATCAAGTAGAACCCTTTTTAAAGGACCACTATAGTGCCAGGAAAACATACTCGTTTTCCTGGCACTATAGTGCCCTGAGGGTGCACCCACCCTCAGGGACCCCCTCCTGCGGGGCTCTGGGGAGAGGAAGGGGTTAAACACTCACCTTTCTCCAGCGCTGGGCGGGGAGCTCTCCTCCTCCTCTCCGCCTGCTCTCCTCCTCTTCGGCTGAATGCACATGCGCGTCAGGAGCTGCGCGCGCATTCAGCCAGTCTCATAGGAAAGCATTCATAATGATAATGATTTTCACAGTGAGAAGCACGCAAACGCCTCTAGCGGCTGTCAATGAGACAGCCACTAGAGGCTTTAGAGGCTGGATTAACCTATTAATAAACATAGCAGTTTCTCTGAAACTTTCTCTGAAACTGCTATGTTTATAGAAGAAAGGGTTAACCCTAGCTGGACCAGGCACCCAGACCACTTCATTAAGCTGAAGTGGTCTGGGTGCCTATAGAAGTGGCGTCGCTACATCATGCTGTGCCCCCCCAAATGCCAGCAACTTGCTGGCCATGGGCTTCCCTCGGACTGTTACAGCCTGTTACAGCCCGAGGGAATGCAGTGTTGAGGTGCTGGGGGCGGTCTGTGGCTGGAGGGAGCACTGATTGGCTCCCCGGCACAGGCTCTGCCCCCAAATGAAGCCCCGCCTCCCGCCGATAAGCCCCGCCCCGCCGTAATGCAGCAGCCCATGCTGCTTCAGAAGCTGCGCGCGCATTCAGCCAGTCTCATAGGAAAGCATTCATAATGATAATGATTTTCACAGTGAGAAGCACGCAAACGCCTCTAGCGGCTGTCAATGAGACAGCCACTAGAGGCTTTAGAGGCTGGATTAACCTATTAATAAACATAGCAGTTTCTCTGAAACTTTCTCTGAAACTGCTATGTTTATAGAAGAAAGGGTTAACCCTAGCTGGACCAGGCACCCAGACCACTTCATTAAGCTGAAGTGGTCTGGGTGCCTATAGAAGTGGCGTCGCTACATCATGCTGTGCCCCCCCAAATGCCAGCAACTTGCTGGCCATGGGCTTCCCTCGGACTGTTACAGCCTGTTACAGCCCGAGGGAATGCAGTGTTGAGGTGCTGGGGGCGGTCTGTGGCTGGAGGGAGCACTGATTGGCTCCCCGGCACAGGCTCTGCCCCCAAATGAAGCCCCACCTCCCGCCGATAAGCCCCGCCCCCGCCGTAATGCAGCAGCCCATGCTGCTTCAGAAGATGGCTGCCTGACCCCCAGTGTCAGGTAGGCTTGGGGGGGGGGGGTGTACACACACACATTGCCCCCCCATACACCCATACTGCCCCATACACACACACTGCCCCCCAGACTGCCCCATACACACACACTGCCCCCATACTGCCCCATACACACACACACTGCCCCCCCATACACACACACTGTCCCCTATACAGCCTCCCATACACACACACTGTCCCCTATACAGCCTCCCATACACAAACACTGCCCCCCATACAGCCTCCCATACACACACACTGTCCCCATACTGCCCCCCCATAGACACAC